CCCTCACGTTTGCAGAAAACCTTCCCTCCTCAGACCAGGCTTCTCTTCTGAGTCTGAAGGTGCTTGGCACCCAGTTGGCAACCAAGGAAATGACAAGAACATTTTTGCCACAAATTTACCTACAGATGGCGAGGTACACTGGGCTTCATCTGTGGTACTCTTAACCTTCCAGTTTACAGTTTTGAGGACTAAGCCAAATGCTCATTCTACCCAGTCAGATTTCTGGTTTGCAACAACATGCTTAATATTTAACCCTGTGTATAAAGAAGAGCTGGGAACCATGACAGCCACAAAAGAAAGAAAGAAAGGCGTGGCAGGGAAGAGTGCAGGTCCTCATGCCAACACCCCGATGGGAGCCTGCGGTCTGGAGTCAGTCCGGGGCCTTTGGATAACACCAGGGGGTGACCTCGGCCAGATGCCCTCAGTTGCTCTGGGACCTCCTCTGGTCCCATGTGACAGCTAGACCTCCATGAAGGAAACTGGGTTGGAGGTTGGAACAAAGCAGACGTTCCCAACACCCGAGGGCGACGAAGGATGGACAGGGCCCCCCAGCAAGCCCGTCCTCTGTGTGTTAAGTCTGGCAGCTGCACTAGCCACTTTGAACTGGTTGAGAGAGGCCTGGTGTTTTCTTTCATTTGAGTTACTGTGGCGTTTAGGGACTAGCAGAAAAGGATGGAGAAGATCCACTTTTACTCACCTTCCCCAGGTCCCAGACGAGCCCCCCAAAATCTTACAGGATATCCGAGGTGGTGCTTTTCTGGCCAGAAGCCTCTGTGGTACACAGATAAGTGGAGGGTGAGCAAGGTGAAGAGGAGCTTTCCTCAGTGTCAGAGCAGGTCAGAGGCTCTCAGCAGAGGTGGCCAGGAGCGAGTGGTTCCCGTCTCCAGGCAGGTCATCACAGTGGGTGTTCAGCTTCAGGACAGAGGGTAGCTCCTCTCTGCAGCTGGTCATTCTGTCGTCTCTGTCCTCTTCTCTGCTGAGGCTGGGGCTTTTATGGGCCTCAGACGGGGGGAAATGCGTGCCAACTGGCCCATGGGCAGCCATGGGTGGGCCCAGAAAAGGCACCACAAGTCTCCACTCTGGACCTCGGGACCAACAGCCTGGCCCCCAGCCTTCAGGCCCACCCTAGCTTGAAGGTGGGGCCTCACCAGGGACCTGCCCCTTCCCTCCTGGGAGCCTGTCTGCCTCCCACATGGTGCCCAGGCTGCTTGTGCCAGGGGGTTCCCAGAGACCAGCTCTGAGCTGCCCCTGCCCCACCTCGGCCTCCCTCCCTGCATTTGGTGGTGCCCACCGTCTGGAGGGCTGAGGTGGTAGGGGACTGGGGCATCAGCACTGCTCTGAGGGTGCCCATGCCCAGCTGGGCTGCAACAGCACCAGGGCTTGGCCCCAACCCCGCTCCAAGATCGGCGTGGGCACCAGGAGCAGGGAGAGGCGGGCAGCAGGAGCGGATGCTCCCAAGTCTGTGGTGATGGGGCGGCCCTCGCTGGCCCCCAAGACCACCAGGAGGCCTGGGCCCACGGCCACGACCTGGATGGCAGCAGCTGCACCTGGGGAGCTCCTGCCCTGCTGAACCCAGAGCAGAAAACCCAGTGCTCCAGGGCTGGTCCCGTGGGTCCCAGCTGTCTTGGCCGGGTGCTCACAGCAGGAAGGGAGGTTGAGGCTGTGGTGGGGGCTCCAGGCCTGGGAGTGGGTCCTTCCCAGCGATGCGAGGGTGGGGTGGCACCGTCGGCTGCCCTGGGGACATGGGGCACAGGGACCCACTGCTGCCATCCTGCTGCCCCGTCTGCCACCTTGCAGCCTGGGGCGGGGGCTCTAGGCCCTCGCAGGGCCCCAGCCGGCACCGGGCGGAGGTGATGTCACTGTGAGTTCCCCCTGCGGTCCCAGCGCTCAGTGGCCCCAGGCCGCCCCTCACCTGGCTCACACCCATGCCAGGGGGGCACCTCTGGGAGCGAACTGCAGGCCCTGACTCCAGCTACCCGGAGTGCCAGGCTCCACAGTGAGAGCAGGTACTTCCAAGCCTACAGGGGGTGGGGGGTCCCCAAGAGCACAGGAATGCTGGGGTGCACACAAATGAAACCAGTGCCCAGGAGGGTGAGGCTCCTGCCTGTGCCGTGGAGTGGGAGGCCCGGCCGTGCCTTCCCACGGCGGCCAGTGGCCACTCTGGATGCTGCTGCTGCCATCATCCTGCCTCGGCCTCCGGAAGTGCTGATATTACAGGTGTGCGCCACCGTGCCCGGCCTCATCATTGAGCTTTAAGAAGTTTCCTCACACGTGCCGCTGGCCCCTGCCCCCCGACCCTGCGTCCTGGGCCGCTTCACCTTCTCAGACTTGGTCCTTCTGACCACCCCGCTTAGAAACGCGGCCGCATCACACGGGCCGCCTCACCGGGCTCCCTGTCCCTCTGCTGTGCCCGCCGCCAGCTGTGTACAGATGTTTTATTTATGGATCGTCGTGTGCCCCCCTCCACGTTAGAATGTAAGCTCCATGCGGGCAGCCTTTTTGTCTGTTCTGCTCACTGCTTTTCCTCAGTGGGTGATGCAGTGAGTGTGTGATGAATCATTGCTAAGTGCATTAAATTACGCCGTGATCACGTGGGATTCTGTCTGACCTCCTTGTTTTCCGAGGTTAATTCTTTGTGATGTGCAGGCTTCCCCTGCCTGTGGCTTAGGGTCCTCTCCTTTCCTCATTCTCTCGGGGTAGCGCGGATCGTTAAATCCAATGGTAGCTCTCTTGCTGGGACACATCTGCGTGTGGGGACGATTCCATCTGAACTAGATGCACCGGGCACAGTGGGCCGGGCTGTGGTCATCGCGTGGCCCACAGGCGCATGTGTGGCCGGCTGGGTCCCCTGCCCTGTGGCTCTTCTCCCCTGTGGGCCAGTGGGACCTGTGCCGCCACCGCAGGGGCGGATGCTGCTCTGGCCAAGGGCAGGTCCTCCCGGTTCTCCGGTGCCACCTCCCGCCCTGCGTGCGCGGTGAGCGGTGACCTCAGGTCAATCTGGGTGCATCTTCAGAGGACAATTTTGGCTGCTGGGCGTCTGAGCTTTTTTCCCACCCAGCGTGAACGAGGAGGTAGGAAGAAGAGTGGCCCCGCCCCAGCACCTGCGGCTGCTGCCTTCGTGGCAGACGGATGCAGTGAGGGTGTGATGGGAGGTTACTGTGGGCTCGCTGGGGGGGCCCAGTGTAATCACAGGCGTCCTCTAAGAGGAGGCAGCAGGGTCAGAGTCACAGAAGCAGACGAGAGAGAGGGAGAGAGAAAGAGACCGAGCTGCTGAAATCCAGGCGGCCTTGAGAAGCTGGAGAAGGCAAGGAAACAGCCCCACCTTCTCCCGAAGGGACCAGCCCTGCGGACACCTCAATTTTAGGACTTTTTTTTCCTAAGACAGGGCCTTGCTGTGCTCCCCAGGGCGGAGTGCAGTGGTGCAATCAGAGCTCATTGCAGCCCCGACCTAGGGCTGCACTGGGACCCCGGGCAGAGAGGGGACACGGTGGAGCGGCCTCGACCGGCCTCTGGGTCAAGCCTCTGGTGCCCTGCTGACTCTGACCTTGCACTTACCACCAGAGAGGTGGTCAGGACCCTGGCGTGGGGGGGCAGAGAGGTGGTCAGGACCTTGGTGGCGGGGGGACAGA